GTGAAATCTGAGGTATATAGGGGCCTTGTTGGGTCTTGTGTGTTAGTCATTGTACTTCAGAGAACAAAAGCCAGTAAGAGATAGATGGACAGATGATGATAGATGGATAGATATGAAAGTTGTGGACATGGAATTAAAAGATAACTCTATTTTGGAGCCCAACACTGAATGTCATGCATGGCTTTTTCATAGCACACATTTTTTCAGGGAACTTTTTTTTTCAAGATTATTTATTTTTATTGGAAAGGCAGATGTACAGAGAGAAGGAGAAACAAAGATCTTCTGTCTGCTTGTTCACTCCCCAAATGGCTGCAACAGCTGGAGCCAGGAGCTTCTTCCAGGTCTGCTTCTCGGGTGCCAGGTCCCAAGGCTTTGGCCCATCATCCAATGCTTTCCCAGGTCACAGGCAGGGAGCTGGATGGGAAATGGAGTAGTCAGGGTTAGAACTAGCACCCATATGAGATCTCAGTGCATGCAAGGCAAAGACTTCAGCCACTAGCTACAACACCAGGTCCCCCAAGGAACTTTCTGAAACCCTCTGGTAGACAGACAAGGATAATGAGGATTGAAGATAGAGGATAAAAATGGAAAAGTGGAGTTTTGTCATGCAGGGTTGGTTCGGGTTGAAGGAGAAAAAATAGGCTTGCAGGGAAGCCTCACAGAAACACAGGCTCGGTCGTTTGTCTTGTAGAGGATTGCTTGCATAGCAGATATGGGGAGATGAGCCTGCTCTGAATCAAGAGGGACAAGCCCAGTATCACCAGACACTAAGATAAAATGTTGACTAAATAGAAAGTGTCGGGAACTGTGTCGTAAACAGTCCAAGGCTAACAGCTGAGTCCCAGCTTCTGTATCTTCCCATGTGCTTGCGCCTGCCCACACAGAAATCCTGCATCCATGGCTCGGCCATCAGAGACAATGTTTGCCAATGCCCTCCGGAGTAAAGAAATGGCTACTTCCTTTCCTTTCCATAAATGGCTATGGAATCTCTGGTCATCTTATTTCCATAACAACGGGACTGTGGCGAGCTGAGAAGTCTCACCCACAGTCTGCAGACCAGGGCTGAGAAAAGGGAGTGGTGTAGATAGGATCTGAGTCCAAGGCGTGAGCACCAGGCTGGACACTGGTGTGAGGTTCCAACCTGGAACCCTGCGTGCTGATGCTCCGGGCAGGAGAAAACAGTTTTCCCAGCTGTAGCAGAGAGATAGAGAGCAAACCTGACTTGCCTGAGCCTTTGTGTTGTATTCCAGGCTTCCATGGGTCTTGGGCAAATGAGGTCACACTGAAATTGTTAATAAGTCACCACCAGCTCCAAGGGACAAGGACTGTGTCTCATCCACTCAGCTCTAAACTCTTGGATCTTGCATAATTTCTGCCATGGGGTTGTTGCTTTGTAATTGTTCTTTCAATGACTTGGCAATTTCAGCCATCCCTAAAATGCTTATAGAACTAGAGGGAGAGAGAGAGAGAGAGAACCCAAGAGGGCATCAGAGACCCAAGTCCACAGTTAGGAATTTGGGGGTCCCTTTCCAACATGACTTCTGTGGGTTCGTTTCCACGGTGGAGATACAGGACGGCCAATGGTGTATGCTTGCCTGACCTCCCAGCCCCCAGCAAGCTGGGTGGAATAGCAGAGGTGCCTAGGGGACGGGCTGCAGCCAATGCTGAAGGTGCTTTTGTTAGAATACAGCAAAACACGTCTTCTAAGCACATAAATTGTAACCTGTGCCTGTTTGGAAGGATTACAAATCTTGCCCTTCCGGCTGGACCGCAGCTCCCCTTCACCACCCTGTGCACCTGCTGAAAGGAGGACTCAGACCTGAGAAATCCAAACGCAGGGGCTGTGGGTCGGACAGAGGCTGCCCTCATCCACCGGTGGTCCCAGTGATTTATGGCAGCTCCCCTCAGGAAGTATGGCTTGGTGCTTAAAAAAAGAACTGGCCTCATCTCCCAAGAGATTTAGGCCACTGCTGAAGGGGAGACGGATTGAGATGCTGACATATCTTGAGAATGAACTGGGTTCCACTGTTTCCATTTCTTGTCTAGGTGCAAGCTTGTCCCCGGGGGCTCTTCCCTCACACAATGTGGTCAGCAGCCCGCAAAGACAGGAAGCTGCTGACTGAGGGCAGCAGTGGGAGGAACTGGTAGGAGTGCAAAGCATTCCCTACTTAATCTACACAAATGCCAATTAAATGTTTAGTGAATGAATGAATGAGGAAGGAGGCTTCTGGTAACAATTATGAAAGCTTCTAGAATTTTCTTTTCAATTAAAAGCCAGGTGGCAGATGCCTCTTGGCCTACTGGTAAAGATACCACTCCCATTCTGTATCAGGTGCCTGCATTGCAGTCCCAGCCACCACTACTGTGGGAAACCTGGATTAAGTTCCTGGCTGCCAGCTTTGACCTGGCATAACTCCAGCCGTTGCAGACATTTGGGGAGTGAAATCAGCTCATAGGGGCTCTCCTCGTTTCTCTCAGTCGCTTCTCAAATGAAAAACAACAACAAATACATCATCCAGAGGCATGACCACTTTCCACAATTACCACCTTGGCTGCCTAGTTCAAGTCCCCTGGATGTTCATGTTTAACTACTTTCACTTGGAGAGAAGCTGATCGCTCGTGTGTTTGTTTTAATGGAGGGGCTTGGTGAGAGACAGGAAGGTGGGTAAACGGCAGGGGAAGTGACCAGGAGCCTACACTGGAAGTTGAGGTCTGAGCTGTAGCCCTGGTGGCTTTTGGCAAAGTTTTTCCCCTTTCTTCATTCACCAGATATGTTGGGTGGGTGCTGCCCTGTGCATGATGGAGCAGGAGCTTGTATGGAAAATCATTCCGCTTCCAGCTGATTGTCTGGATTTAGATCCTTGTGACTTCTTTTCCCCCTTATTAAAAAAAAAAAAAGAAGAAGAAGTTTTGATCGGGTGCAATGGCTCAGTGGCTAAATCCTCACCTTGCATGTGCCAAGATCCTACATAGGCACCGATTTGTGTCCCAGCTGCTCTGTTTCCGATCCAGCTCCCTGCTTGTGGCCTGGGAAAGCATTGGATGATGGCCCAAAGCCTTGGGACCCTGCACCGGTGTGAGAGATCTGGAAGACGCTCCTGGCTCCTGGCTTCGGATTGGCTGAGCTCCGGCAGTGACAGCCTCTTGGGGAGTGAGCCAGCAGATGGAAGATCTCTCTTTGTATCTCCTTCTCTCTGTACATCTGCCTTTCCAATATAAATAAATACATCTATAGGGAAAATATTTCTATTAGTAGAAAATTTTTCTGTAGTTAAAATTGTAAAAAAAAAAAAGTGTGTGGACATAGTTCAAGTCCCAGTTTTTGTTCTTTAGGGAGGGATTAAAAGGCAGCTGTCATCACTTCCAAAGATTTCTCAAACTTGAGGGAGCTCCTGCTGAAAAGCTCAACTTATTTTTTTTTTATTATTCATTCCATTTTCCCCCAAACTCTGAAGTTCCCTCACATGTGACATGCATCACTCCCAATCCTGTCATTTTCTCTTTGGATTAGTTTTTCTAATTATCTGATATCCTGTTATCTCTGCAAAGAGCTGGCTCTTGGATTTGTTCTGGGGTTCTACTGCTCTTCAGGGTTTGGGCTCATTGTCCTGGGGAGCACGACGTGGGAACAACTCTCTCCATGATGGTGGGGAGGTTGGGGGTCATGACTAAGGGCAGAGGCTGTGGTGTCAGGTGGTTTGAGCTCAAGTTCTCATTCCTTCCTTTACGACCTGTTTGACCTTGCGTCATTATTTGCAGAGTTTCAGGGTGGGGAACAACACCTACCTGACAAGTTCAATATTCATAGTTGGGAATTGATAGCTTTCAAAGGCTTAGAAGAGGTGACCAGTGTGATGGCTCAATTGGTTGATCCTCTGCTTGCAAGCGCCAGCATCCCATATGGGCACAGGTTTGTATCCTGGCTGCTCCACTTCTGTTCCAGCTCCCTGCTTATGGCCTGGGAAAGCAGCAGAGGATGGCTCAAGTCCTTAGGATTCTACATCTGCCTTCTGGGAGACCCAGAAGACGCTCCTGGCTTTAGATCCCATTAGCTCCAGCCACTGCAGCCATTTGGGGAGTGAACTGACAGATGGAAGATCTTTCTCTATGTCTCCCCTTGTCTCTGTAAATCTATCTTTTCAATAAAAACAAATAAACCTTTAAATGCTTAAAAGAATGCCACTGCATCCTGGGTACCATGTAGGCATTGCTCGCAGTCGTTGCTCAGTATCCACAGGAGATGGGTTCTAGGACTGTTGCAAGTACCAAAACCTGTGGATTCCGAAATCCCTTATGCAATACGACATAGTGTTTGCATAGAACCTACACACCCTCCCGTGTATTTTACACTTGCTCTTCGTCAAAAGGCTGGGAAACAATCCTCCCATATATTAAAAAAAAAATTATTGTTTACTGGCCAGAGCTGAGCCAGTCCAAAGCCAGGAGCCAGGAGCTTCTTCCAGATCTCCCACATGGGTACAGGGTCCCAAGGCTTTGGGCCATTTTCTATTGCTTTTCCAGGCCACAAGCAGGGAGCTGGATTGGAAGTGAAACAGCCGGCACATGAACTGACACCCATATGGGTTCCTGGCACATGCCAGGCAAGGACTTTAGCCACTAGGCTACCACACAGGATCCTCTCCCATGTATTTTAAATATTTCTCAATTACTTATGATACCTAATGTGATATAAATCATGGTTATGCTGCCTCGTCTAGTTAATAATGAAGAGAAACAAGCCTACCTGTTCTTACCATAGAGACTATATTTTTTTCTGAACCCTGATTGGCTTAATCTGCAGACGTAAAACTTATGTGCGTGAAGCCAACTGTATTTCTTCAATAGCTCTGGACTTCCCCTCATGCAAATATTTCAGTATTTCTTAAATATCTCCAGATCCCTGTGGGATCATGCTGCAGAGCTGGGGTCCCTAGGGGTCTCCATGTCTCAAACACCTTTTCTGCACCTTCCCACCCCTGATTCGGCTTCTTCTTTTGCAGAACTAGCGCTGTGCAGAAACGTAACCAGTCTTCTTGCCGCTGTGCTACTCGAGGTGACCACATCCTCTTCACACCCCACAGCCTCCCATGGAATGCTCAGGTCAGTGTGGTTGGAGAAGTAGGGTCTAGCCGGCCTGACTGCTCAGTGGGACAGGCCCTTTACATGTGAGGTGGCAGGGGAGCATCCCCAGGGTTGGCAGGACCACCTGACCCCCACTCCATTGCCTGGGTTTGAGGACATCTTGACGGAGGGACACCCATACACCTGCTAGGAGAGGTCCTGACTGCTTGCAGCCACTGAGGTGGACGACAGGAAGAACGAGAGGAGCCGGGGTATAACACCACACGCTGTGAGGATTCAGCAAACACCCAGACTGCACGTGACAAAAGAATGACAAGGAGTGACAAAAGCACCTGGCAAACACTCACTCACCGAGCAAGGGTTGTTTTGCAGAAAGGGGAAACCGAGGCACAGCAATGGCAGGCATATTTTTTTCCCCCCAAGGTCACATAAGGGTTGCTAGGTCACAGGATCTGAATTCGGTGACCTTGCCCCAGTGTCCAAGCTCTGAATGATTCCACTATGGTTGCCTCGTGGAAGTGTCTGAAGAATCTGGTGAAGGGAGACCATGTCACCAGAACTTTCTACATTGGTCTGGAAGGGAAACTAAGGCTCGGAGGGCTGAGGACTTGACTCACAAAGCCACGAGTTAGTATAGTGCCAAAGCCAGGACGGGAGCGTGATCTGTGTGATTACAAGGAACATCCAGGCTCCCATACTGGGAGTAGGAACCAACACTTGAACCATCACCTGCTGGCTCCCTGGATATGTATTATCAGGAAGCTGATATGAGGTCAGGCATCTTCACCTTTGGGGTTACCTGTCGCCGCTTACTTCCATTATATCAATGAACCCATGTCATATTGTCTTTCAGGAAGAGACATGTGCCAGACACAAGCAATAAAAATTGAGGTAGCCAATTTTTTAAAATTCATCTATTTTTTATTGGAAAGGTAGACTCACAGAGAGAAAGATCTTCCCTCCTTTGGTTCACCTAAGTGGCTGCAATGGTCGAAGCTGAACTGATGATCCGAAGCCAGAAGTGAGGAGCTTCTTCCAGGTCCGCCACGCAAGTGCAGGGTCCCAGATTTTCGGACCATCCTCAACAGTTTTCCCAGGCCACAAGCAAGGAGCTGGAAGGGAAGCGAAGCAGCCGGGATTAGAACTGGAACCCACATAAGATCCTGGCAGATGCAAAGCGAGAACTCAGCCACTAGGCCATCATGTTGGGCCTACCAAATTTTTTTTAAGTGACCAAACAGAAAAGAGAAACTGAAGCACTAGACACCAGAAAGGGCAGAGCAATATGAATGCACGGTTTTACTTTCTGCAATTTCAATTACCCTAAGTCAATGCTGAAAACATTCAATGAAAACTTCTAGAAAGCAACACCAGTTTTAAGTTGCATACCATTCTAACTAAAGTGATCAACTCTCACCTGCTCTGCCCCGCCCTGCTCAGTCTTGCCCAGGATGTGAGCCATGCCTTTATCCATGCTCTGTATGCCACCACTTGTTGGTCTCTTGGCAGCCATCTCAGTGATAAAAATTGCCATACAACATTGGTGGGCCTGAGCTGGTAGCCTAGTGACTAAGGTCCTTGCCTTGTATATACCAGGATCCCATATGGGTGCTCCACTTCCCTTCCAGCTCCCTGCTTGTGACCTGAGAAAGCAATAGAAGACAGCCCAAAGTTTTGGGACCCTGTACCTGTGTGGGTGACGTGGAGGAGGCTCCTGGCTCCTGGCTTCAGATTCAGCTCTGGCCATTGCAGCCACTTAGGGAGTGAACCAGAGGACGGAAGATCTTTCTCTCTGTCACTCTGTGAATCTTAGTTTCCAATAAAAATAAATAAATACATTTTTAGAAAATAAAATATTGGTATTCACATAACCTTTATTTTATTTGTTCATAGCCACACGTGTAAGGAATTGTGATACTGGCAATTAGATATGCCAAAGAAAAATGTTAAGCTTTTCTTATAAATGAAAAGGCAAAAATATACTAAGATTTTGAGATCAAGAGACCACATTCAAACCTTTTGTTTGAGCATAGTGAGTTTCTTTTTCAAGACTTTATGTATTGACTTAAACGTCAGAGTTACACAGAAAGAGAAAGGTAACTTCCCTTTGCTGGTTGATTTCACAGCTTGTTGCAACAGCCAAGGTTAGGCCAGGCTGAAATCATGAGCTTCGTGTCGGTTTCCCATGTGAGTTGCAGGGACCCAAACACTTGGAACATCTCCCAGTACTTGTCTCAGGCCACTGGCAGGAATCTGGGGCAGAAGTGGAGCAGCCAGGACATGAACCAGCAGCACCCATTGGAGATTCTTGTGTCACAGGCAGTGACTACCCGCTACACCACAACCCCAGCCCTGCAGTATGTTGTCTTGTTTTATTTGGTTATTGGTGTTGTTCCACTGCTCCTGTGCCACCATTATAAGCTACACCTTCTCCTGTTTATGCATGTATTGGAGAACAACGCCCTCACTACAGGGCCCATTGCTAGTTGTTGTCTCAGGCATCCTCTGGGGGGTCTGAATCACGAGAGGACAACTCAGCCTTTAAAACACCCTGTGGATGGAGAGAATGACAGCTATGATGCAGGCTTGTATATTGCACAGCAACAACCCCGAGACACATGAGTATTCCGTCTCTTTCTTGGGCTTATCAAATGCAATCCAGTTTCTAGCTCTCATTTTCCAAGGTCAGCCTAAATTTCAACATCTCTACTTTGAGATACTTGTCCCCACCTTGAGAACATGTGAGAAAGTTAGGTGGTAGAAGACGGGGCTGTTGCCTTCTTCTATCCGCTGGGGTTGCAGCCCCCAGAATTGTAGTGGCCAGGCTTGCATGTCCCAAACGGGGCTAGGGAGCTCTCTTGGGAGCAGCTGCATTCTTGTGCCTGGCAGAGGCATTCACAGACACGGTGTGGAGTGTTTATCAGATCTTTGCTACCACCGGCACACTGTCCCCCAGCTAGCCCCAATCTTCCTCATTCCCCAACACTTCATAACTCTTGTGTCCTCACAGTTTTGGGTGAGCCCAACCTCAAAACCCTTGAACTGGGCCTCCATCCTCCTCTCTAACAAAAACCAGCAGCCTCCATCCCAATCTGTCTTAGACACTACAGTCAAGTTGACTTAGTCAGCTACCTAGGGTCTCAAAGTCAGGTGCCTGCCAAGACCTGTAGAGGATATGAATGGGCAAAGCCAGGAGACTGGGAACCATGAAGAGCTGGGGAGCTGTGTGCCTCCACACTGTCCTCCCCCGGTCCTCTTGACTGGAACCGAGCTCTGATCGGGTTGTAAGTTCCCTGGCAACCAAGTCAAAGGGGAACAGCTGAGGCCCGTGGTTTGTGTTGCATAGCAACAGGAGAACACACACACACACACACACACACACCTATGAAGGCAAATTCCTAGTTCACTGCACACAGGAATCAGTTGTGTAGGGAAGTGTTTCTGATGCTCTTCCTCCAAAAAGCAGAGAAAGGGAGAAAGACTTGAGTGGAAAAGTCTAGGATTGACAGGAAGTCTTAAGACAAGCTCAGGGAGGTGTTTGGGGAAAGCTCTCTCTCTCTCAGAAGGGCCTCCTTTGCAATCCTTGCTGCACTTTGCATTGGCTGGGGAGTGCAATTCAGCAAGGAGGAGCCACAAGTTTCACAGCTCAGTAAACCGGGATCTTGGTCAGTGAGACTCCCCAGAGTGGGAGCCCAGCAAGGTGCATCCTCAGGGTTCCAACACTCTCAAGTGCCTGTGGCTTCTTCTGGGGCTAGTTCCCTGTTCTTGCCACACCAAAACATCACCACTAGAGGAAATACTGTTTCGACAGTTGTCACCATAAGGAAGACCTTATTGGAGACTATTGTAATAGGGGAGCAAGAACAAGCCCCACTCCCCACAGGGAAAAGGAAGGCGTGTTCCTCAGCTGCTGAACTGGGATCAGTAGGGAGAGAGAGGTCAAGGTCAAGGGTAGGGGCCTTTCTGCTAAACTGCCCTAAAAGGATTCTTGCTAGAGGAAGGGTAAATTCTCATACACCAGTGGGTGTAGAAAGAAGGACTTGATCAGCTTTGCAGGAGTCGGTGCGGGGCCGGGTTCCTTTCTGAACTGACTTTGCAGAATTCTTGCTCATACTGGGCTGGGCAGGCCAGTGACAAGATGGACAGGGGTTAGGTCAAGTCCTAGTGGGAAAGGAGGGCTCCAAAGAACCTGGGGAAGGTTTGGGTCAAGGAGACAGTCTTCATTATCACCCATCTCAGTGTTTGATATTTCCTTCTCCACAGACTTTTAAATATTTACCTTCATGCGTGGACTGAAGAATTAGTCACCAGGATTTTTTTTTCCCCAACACACATGAATATCAATGTATAACCACTGAAAGTTTAAGATAGCTTGTGGGTCAACTCACCTTACTTTGTGTTATATAAAAATTCCCCTTATCTGTGAGGGATATGTCCCAAGATGCCCCAGTATGTGCTGGAAGTACTGAACTAGGACTTACAACTTGATGTTTTTACCCTGCATTCTTTACCCTATATGTCCTGTAACTTTACATAGCTAACATACCCTACCACTTTTATTTGGGGGATGGCGGAGTTGGCAGAGACAGAGTTCTCATCGTTGTCTCACTCTTCCCGTGTCTACAATAGCCAGGATGGGAATAGGCTGAACAAAGAAGCCAGGAACTCAATCTAAGTCTCCCACACAGGTGGCAGGGACTCAACTGCTTGAGTCATCATCTGCTGCCTCCCAGGATGCGTATCATGGCCAGAATTCAAACCCAGGCACTTCCGTATGGGATGTGGCCTAACTGCCAGGTCATGTTCCCATCTCTTACCCTTCTCTTTTTTGTGCCTTAGTGTCTCCCTTGCATCTCTCCTCTTGTCCTTTGGGGCCATAATTAGTCCCAATAAAGGCCACTAGAACACAAGTCCTAGGATAACGTGGCAGTGGATCTGTGAACCAAGGCAGGTCCTGGGTCACTAATGTAGGATGTGGAGTAGCATATACAGCACGGACACCCAGGACAGAGGGGCGAACCACAGCCCAGTGTGGACAGAGTGAGAGACGGGATCACAGAGTACAATGTAAAACCTATGAATTGTTTTGCTTCTGGAATTTTCCACTTAACATTTTTGGCCTGCAGTTGACCACAGGTCATGGAAACCACAGATAAAAGGGAAGTTACTGTGCATCCCACACCTCAGCCAGCTTCTACAAAGAACCCAGAAATCTAGCCCCTACACTCCTTGCCTTCTCAGCTCTAAACAGAGAACTCTGGGGGGCACCCCTTGAGGCTCATGGCAAGGGAGCTGGGGACACTTTGGGGGATAGAGGTGGAGGGAGGTGAGAGCAAGGGTGGGGCCAGGAGGGCTGCATACCAAAATCCCTGGCCTTAAAGTGCCCCCCAATCCCACACAGATGTGGAGCTGGATCTTCAGAGGAGTGTGCAGGCTGTGCTCCGGGAGCTCAGCGCCCAGGTCCCGGCCCTGCAGAGCAACCAAGGTAGGAGATAGTGAACACACAGCCTCCCTGACCCCAGCCCTACCCTCCTTCCTGCTGGAGACTCCTGGGGCCTAAAGGACCCAACAGGCTTCTCTATTCCCCGGTTCAAGTCCCACTCCCATCCCAGCAAGCGTGGCAGAATGCACTGTGCATCTGCCACCTCCTGTCTTAGCCACCTTCTCCAGCTCCACTTTGGCCTCAGGGCACACACCTGCCACTCTGAAAGCCGCCTGTATGTGGCTGTTGTCCCTATTGCATCTCATCACAACCCACCAACCGCTTTCACTTGTAGCCAAGCGCTGGCTGCGAGTTCAGACCCAGGACTGGTCAATGTTATGACCAGGGGCTCCTGGTCATGATGGATCCCCGCCCCCAACTAACTTTCCAGGCATGTGGAGATGGTCCCTGCACAAGAAGGTTGAGCGAGATCCTACTAAGAGTCCGATGCTGGTCCGTATTCTGCTGAGGGAGCTGGAGAAGGTGGGTCCCCAGGTTTATATAGGTGGGGAGAGGTGGTGGTACAGGTGAAAGTGAGAGGCCTATGGGGCTAGGGATCCAGTCCAATGTTGGTCACTCGTGGGTGTGACTTTTGACGCAACACGTCTTCCTCATGTGCCCACGCAGAAGGAAGGCTTGGTGTGTGGGAGGTGCTGCATCTGAGTTCCTGCCTGAGTCACTGCTGCCCTTCCCCTGTGGAGCTCCCTGCACCTCCCGCCCCTGGTCTCAGGCAGACTGACCTTTCCTCTCCCCTTGGCATAATGGTCACCACCTTGCATGCCATCTCCCACCTGCCCGCCCCACAGCCCTGGAGCGCCCTGACCCCTGACCCTTTAATGTCCCCTGGCCTCCTGATTTCCAGGCTGAAAGCGAGGACCAGCGACACGTGATCATCCCCTTGCTGCATACGCTCATGTACGTGCTCACAAAGGTGAGCCAAGGACTAGGGGATGCCCACGTGGTAGTGATGGCCTCCATGGAGCTAGATTGGGCACTGGCATCTCCCTTCATTGTGCACCCACCCAGCTGTGCCCCAGAGTCAGTCTGGGAAAATCTCTGCATTGCCTGCTCCTGACCGGTTCTCTGGCACCAGCCAATGAAGACATGGGATTGGGGAGACAATGGGAAAGTCGAGGCAGCATGGAAGGGAAGAGACTAGAAATGTAACCCCCAGGCATGCAGGATGGAGAACCACAGGAACATGGGAAGCCTGGGGGGACACGGAGGACCACCTAATTGCAGGGAGGCATTGGGCCATGGATTCCTCCACGCTTCCGGGTGGTGCAGGCACAAGAGATGCTGGCGGAAGGGGGCTGAAAGGTGTGGCTTGGGAGGGAGCCAGGGAGCCCGACTTCTCTTCCTGCAACTCCCACCCCACCCAGGACCCTGCATGCCCCAACTGCCCCCTCTGCCCCAGGCCACAGGCATCCCCGGGGAACTCTACCAGAGGACCTATGCCTTCTGCACCAGGCTCCTGACCCTTCCCACTCCTTACTGCACTGTGGCTTTGGACTGCGCCGTCAGACTGAAGACCGAGACGGCCGTCCCAGGTGAGAGCTGCCAGCCAGCCGGGCCTCCATGTGGGAACACCAGTCCTTCCCAGGGTTCTGGCCTTTTCCTCCTCCGAGACCTCAGGAAATCTTAGCACCTTCTGCAGGATGCTGAGACCTGCAATCCGAGGGTCAGGAACTGGCTGGTTGATGGGGTCTGCTTCACAGGAACACTGTACCAGAGGATGGTCATTGCCGAGCAGAACCTGATGAATGAACTGTACCCCTACCAGGAGAGGTGAGCTGCTCAGCCTGCCCTCAGCCCCCCTGGGAGGATGGGGGTCAGGGAGGGATGGATGGCCACCCTCCAGACAGGGGGCAAATGCAGAGGCAGGATTGAGAAGACATCTGGCTCTCTAGCCCTGAAGGCTCCCTGTTCAAGGATGGTCCAGCCACGTCTGTGTCAACCCTGGAGGAAGGATAGGACTGGATTCAGAGTTGACCTGCTCACCTGCAGAGGGTGGACATGGCCCCACAGCCACACTGGAGCTCTGTGGTTGCATCTGCTTCCCGTCTCAGTCCTGGACCAGCAACTAGGCAGCAGAGGCAGCCTGGGTCACAGTGCAGTCTGGAAGCTGCCCCCTGCACATGCCCAGTGCTTCAGACATGATGGCAGAGTGGCCATACTATTCTTGTAGGGAGGAAGGTCATGACATTGGAGCATACACCTCCGTCTTCTGCAGGCATTCCTGTTGACTTGTTACAGCTTTTGTCTGAAGTTTGGGATGCTGGGTTCCAGAGGGAGGGGAGTTAGCATTAAAGAGGGCAAATGGGAAGGTGGTGAGGTTGATTTTCTGGTGTGATGAGGGAGATATGAAGGTCTGGGACTCACTCGTGGTTTGGCACTCCAGTCCTGGCAGGCAGGATTCAGGGTCCCTCCTAGAGAATGACACGGCCACTGGGCCAGGGTGCTAAGAGAGGGAACCGGATTTTTTTTTTTTTTTGAAAGGCAGAGTTACAGAAAGAGAGATAAGAAGAGACAGAGAGAGAGATTTTATCTGCTGGTTCACTTTGCAAGTGACTACAACAGCCAGAGCTGGGCAGATGCAACGCTGGGAACCAGGAGCATCTGGGTTTCCCACATAGTTTCAAGACCCAAGCACTTGAGGCATCCTCTGCTGCTTTCCCAGGTGCATTAGCTGTGTGCTAGATCAGAAGCAGAGCAGCCAGGACTCCAACCGGTTCCATGTAGGATTCTAGCGCCATAAGCAGAAGCTTAGCATACTATGTCATGGTGCCAGCTCCATTGTGTGTAGGTGGGGAGCTTTCCTAGGCCTGACATTCAGGCTGGCTCCCTATATGATGTCAGTGGGCTACAACGGGGTGAGCAAGTCTGCCCCTGGTATGAAAGCTGTGTACACTCTCACTTGCTACAGTCCCCACTGCTCCCATGGTAGCCCCACCTAGAGACGCTGAAATCAGAAGTTCCAAGGGGGCGGCGCCCACCCCTGCAGCCCCCACAGGCAGGCAGTCAGTCATCCTAACCAGCCTCCCGTCCCCTTCTCTCCCTGCCCATAGAGTGTTCCTGTTTGTGGATCCCGAGCTGGTGTCAGCCTCAGTGTGTAGCGCCCTGCTGCTGGAGATCCAAGCCGCCCAGGTGCAACAGTCGCCCGAGGCTTGCATGCGCCACGTGGTCGCCCATGCCCTGCAGGCGGCCCTGGGTGAGGCCTGCCACGTGGCTGCCCTACACCAGAAGCTGCAGGTAACTGATGCCCGTCCCCCAGAGCCCTGCAACTTCCTGCCCACCACCCACACTGCTCCTCCTCCTGCAGTTTCATGTCACCTTCACTGCCCAAGTCAGAAGCTCATCCTTTTAGTAAGTGTTTAGTAGGTAAATGTGGAATATTGCACATAAGCTGAAGAAGAAAGCAGGATTTTCAATTAGGCAGAGATGAGGGTGGGCTACTCACCATCCCATGCAAAATGACTGAGCCAGACTTGAACCCACATCTCTCTGATATCAAACAGCCTTCAGGTGCCTTCCAGGACTTCTAACTCCATCACAAACCAAGATCCTGAGCTCTAAACCGTGTTATATGATGCATGTACACCTGTGTATATTCCTTTTCTGTATCACTGGATATTGGCCATATGGAAACCCACACTTGTAACCTTTGTTTAACCTTCTTGCTTAGGGCCATGTCCTCATTTCCTCAACCAGCACCCCCACCCCATCCTGTTGAGGCACATTTAGGCTCTTTTCAACACTCGTTTGTTGCTCAGCTTTTCTCTCTCTGACTCAACCCCTACTCCATTCGCCAACCAAAAGATCCTGCAGGTTGGAGATAGTCTAGCTGAGGGTTGGCACCCAGAAGGGAGAAGGGTGCCTGCGAGGGCTTAGCTGTGCCCTGCCTCTAATGCCCTAGGAAGGTGGGGGCAGGGGACTGGGCCTTGTCCCCACACTGTGGTTCAGACCCTGCTTGGTCATGAGAAGGCATTAAGTAAGCCCACTGCTTTTCCACCTGTTGTATTCCATCTGGAATGTTCCACAGTCTGAACCCTGCATCTTGGATCCTTTCTTTGGCTTGGTCCCTCCTTAAGCCACTCTAGGGGACCCACTGGGTCCCCCCAACAGGCTGTAGCAGCAAGCAGCTGCGGACAGGGCAGCTCACTGGCTGGGCAGGTGGGAGTGTTCCAAAGGGGTGGAGGGAAGGTGGCATGCTGGGTTGTCCATTGCCCAGAGGACACGGTGAGTGATGGTGGAGTGGGGGCTGGGCCGAGACCACACAGGCTCTGACGCCCCACCCCATTAGGCCAGCCCCCGCCGTATCCTGGAGCACTATTTCCACGCCGTGGTGGCTGCGGTGGAGCAGGTGGCGAGTGAGGGCAGCCTGAGTCGGGCGGGATACCTGGAGAGGTTAGAGGAAATTTACTGCTCACTGCTGGGACCGGCAGCTACCACAAGACAACACCAAGGAGGTAAGTGGTAGTTGGGGCGGTAGGTGGTGGCCAGCTGCCCAAGATCTGCCAAAGGTCTGCCTGGGTGGGTGGGGAAGGGGCAGGATGCAGAGCATGGGAGCAAGACATGGAGGGGGCAGGCCACTGATGTGGTCATCAATGACCGCACATATCTACAGAGCATCTGACAGGCCCTAGTTGCTGCAGTTCTAAGTGCTTTACTTTCTACAGGGCTCAATATGTCTATGAGATCAAATTAGTCCTCACCATAGACCCGTGAGTAGCTGCAGGCACCCAATGCAGGGCTGGATGCCACCCATAGGGGTCAGAGGCCCAGTCCTGGGGTCTGAGCTTAGTATCCTGGAGTCACACATGCCCACCACCCCAGAGTGTCCTGTGTCCCACCCCAGCCTGCCCTGTGCAGCTTAGCGGCCAGCTAACACTCCTGGGGTTGGGGCAGGGAGCCGTGGGGATAGTGGTTACAAGCACAATGTCGTGGTCATGGGAGCCGGACAACCTGGACTCAAATCCTGCCCATGCCACTCACTGCATGACCTGGAGCCAGCTATGAAGCTTTCCTGTGCTTCGGTAAATGGGGGATAATGGCATTTCACCTGGTTGTTGGCAGGATCCAGGGAAGTGAGGACAGAGCCAGGTGGGAGAAGGCCACTAGTGAGGAAAGCACAACAGTAAATGAATTAAGCACAAACACGGGAACTAAATCCTACCTCCAGATAGGAGGGCTGCTCCGAGGGAATGGTAGCTGGGGGTTGCCAGGGGAGTGGTCCAGCATGCCTCTAGAAGGTAAAGCAGGAGCAGAGCCCTCCTACCCTGCCTCCCCATACCCCTGAGCCCTGGTGTGTCCTGCACCGCCCCCCCCCCACACACCCCTGGCCCCTGGTGTGTTCTGTGTACTGCACTCAGCCTCCATCAGTGGGAAGTCTGGGTGTGTTAGCTCAGGAACACCAGGAGGTGGCCCCGAGGAAGCCCAGACATGGGCAATGTGTTTGAAGAAGCAAGGGCCGTGGGTGACCTAGGGCCCGCTGGGGAGAAACCCCAGCCACTCCTGGGGTCCCCACAGCCTGCTCCTACCTGTAGGTGGTGCCCTCCAGGAGCAGCCGCTGAGCACCCCCCTGCCCAGCCCCTACATCACCTTCCACCTGTGGACCGACGAGGAGCAGCTGTGTAGGTCCCTGGGCCCCCTCTTTGCTCTGTGGGGGTTGGGGTTGAGGGTTGTTGGGAGTGGTGCCTGGAGACAGTGCGTTGGGGGCATGCCTGGAGGACAGCGGCTAGCTAGCTCACTGTGTGGCAATAGCTCAGCACCCTGGTCTCTGGTCTCATGCCCACGGTGATGCCAACAGCCCATGCTCCCACGGAGGAGGCAGGCACAGAACAGTTGTGGCTCCCAGAGCTGCTGCTGTGAAGGGTCCTCTTCATACTTCCTCTCCCTCTGCCGGCCGCCTGTAGGCCCCAGCTTCCTAACACAAAGGTGGGAGCTCGAGACCTCGCACCTGTGTCCCAGAAGAAGCTCCAGGATCTGGGATGAACGGAGGGTCTGGGGTCGGCTAGGTACATGTCCGGGGTGAGGGGGAGGAAGGAGGACACCACACTGATGTCTTTACTGCAAGGATTCTCAGGGTGTGTTTCCCAGGGGAACTCGGCAAGAGGTGGCAGCAGTATGTGGGGCTCTGCCTCTTGGCCAACCACAGGACTTTGGCTTTTTGGAGCAGGCCTCCCTGCCCTGACTGCATCCTTGTCCTCTGCCCCAGGGAAGGAGCTGGTGATGTTTCTCCGCCCGCAGTCCCAGCTGCGCCTCAGCATTGACCTGGAGGCTTTGGATCTGCAGGGCTTCCGGTCGGACCGAGAGCTGGCCCGAGTGTCTGTGTTGTCCACCGACAGCGGCATCGAGCGGGACCTGCCTCTGGGGCCTGAGGAGCTCCCTGCCCCAGGCAGCCCCGAGATGGAGCGTGGGGGACTGCAACGCAAAGGGGGTATCAAGAAGAAGGCGTGGCTCCCTGACTGTCTGACACCTGCTGGTGGCTGGGACGGACCTCCAGGGCTGCACCGGCGGACAGGCAGGCCCAGCGGGGATGGGGAACTGCTGCCTGGGGTCTCCCGGCTGCACACGGCCCGGGTGCTGGTGCTGGGGGACGACAGGATGCTAGGGCGCCTGACCCAGGCCTACCACCGACTCAGGTAGGTTTCTCTGAAGCAGAGGCACAGGTGGGCCTGGGCTGAGCTGAGCTGAGCTGGGCTGGTGAAGGCCCAGGGAGGGGCAGAGGGAGCTGGGAAGTAAGACCAGGGTGGGAGGGTGCGTGGACCTCACGATTGCACGCAGATCGGCCCTGTTTATCTTTAGGATCGCCACCTCACAGGGCAGTTTGATTGTGCCCATCTCATAGATGGGTAAACAGAGGCTTGCAAGAGGGCCTAAATCACCTCAAGACAAATCCTAGCACATAGCAGGGCCAGCCCATTGCTCTAACCCTGTATGTTTCACTGCCTGTTGCCAGGAAACGGGAGACCCAGAAGTTCTGCCTCACCCCCAGACTCAGCTTGCAGCTCTACTACATACCCGTGCTGGCGCCGCAGGTGACCAAAAGGGACAAGGGAACTCGGGAATGGACAGAGTGCTTGGGGGCAGGGGTGCAGGAAGACGGGGTGGGCTCCTGACCTGGGAGTTACTAAGACCCGTGCTCGGACACTTGCAGCTCACATTCGATACCTGCCTTGGGCTTCCTGCTCACGCATGCCCTGGCAGGCAGTAGCTTTGGCTCAAGTTCTTGGGTCCCTGTTACTCGTGTGGGGCATCGGGATTGAATTCCTGGTTCCTGGGCTGTAGGCATTTGGGGCATGAGTTGGCAAATGGGGTCCTTCTCTCACCCCACATTTCCGGGGACCCACACATAAAGACATTTCAGGTTCATTCACTATTGGGGGTACGAGAGCCCCAGACGTGCCTCCCATCCTCTCACTTTCTCCTGCACGCCTCCCCTTCTTATCTGGGTACCTGTTTGTCTTCACGTGGAGCAGAAATGGAGGCCCCGGGCGATGATGTTCTTGACCACAACCATAAAGCACAGTGGCCCTGTCCCGGGGCCCCACAGCTTTGCCCCTCTCCTTGTCCCCAGGAGTCAGCAGCAGCCCGGCAGCTGGAGTTGGGAGAGCTGACGGAGCTGGCGGCGTTCCTGGGCCGCGTGGACCCGTGGTACGAGAGCACGGTCAACACCCTGTGTGCAGCCATCCACAAGCTGGCCCAGATGGTAGGGGCAGTGAGGGGCTCGCGTGAGGGGTGGGGATGCTTGGGATGTGTCCAGGAGCTGGGAGGGTAGGGAGGGCTGTGAGGAAGACAGCGTGCTAGGCTCCGTGGAGGTTTCCAAAAGGTTGGCACGCACCCTTGTAATTCCCCCGTGGGTTTGGACTTGCTGAAATTTCATCTGTCATACAATCAGAGGAAATTTTTATGCTGTGTTGTTTCTGCCTTAAAATTAGGCTGTGAAAGGCCTCCTCCGTGCCAAGATGAATAAATATCCCTCCCCCATCGTTTATGCCAACACTTTCACTGTCTCCTTTTTTTTTTCTTGCATTTCAATCATTAGCCCATCTGCCGTTAATCTGCAGGCTGAGTGTGAGGTGTGCAACTTTATCGCTTCCAACCGTTTAGCCAGTCATCTTAAAGCCATTTGCGGCAAAAACCATCTGGCCTCATGCATTCAAAATGCTGCTTTTATTATTCCCTAAATTCTGATATATACTTGGGTTTATTTCTGGAGACCTGGTCTCTCTCCTTGATCCGTGTGTTTCTTGTACAAATTACCATTGATATTTTAAGAGCTTGGAGAATATACCGGTCCTCTTACTCTTACTGTTCAAAGCTTTTCAAGTCTTACTGATTATAGTCTGTCTTCCCTGATAACCCTCATTGCATTTCGAATGAAAACTGTTTCCGAAAATCCTATTAAGATTTTGATCGACATGTGGAAGAATATCGCATAGTATAATCCCTTCCAAGAGAGCATGATCTGACTTTTCATTTATTAACATTTTTTTTTCTACTTCTCATTATGAGCAGCCTTGATCTGAATAGCCAACATCTAAGATGCTCGGCACCAACATGAAGTCACTGGTGGAACATTCCACACTTGACCTCAGAGAATGAGTTCCAGTCAAAACAAGGGCCTATTAGAAACAGTGTATAAAATTATACACTATGCAGATAAGGTGTATGTGAAACAGGAAAAGATCTTGTGTTTAGAGTTGGGTCTCATTCCCCAAATGTCTCAGTATATACACATGCCCGTAGTCCAAAATTAGAAAAAAAAAATCTGAAATTCAAAATGCATGTGGTTCTAAACATTTCAATTACAGAAGAATCAGCCTGTGTCACATTCTATGTTCTGTTTTGGGCGGCGGGGGGGAGGCTGGGGGGAGGGAATCCTTGTGCTTTTTCAACATGCTGGACCAGGTATATCAAGAACCAAGTCCATTCCCAATAGCAGGCAAACAGCCATCAGCCTGTTAATGCCAGAGCTGAGAGAGACCTAACATGGTAGGGTTTGGCCTAGTTTTCTGTAGAGAGACACTCAGGGTAGGCATTGCTGGTCTCAGACTTGGCCCAGGTGTGCAGCCAGTCCAAGCCCAGGGCCTTATCTGAGCTTTTCATGATCACAACAGCTCCAGTGGCTCAGCGCACAGCCTTGCCCATGGTTGTGCTTTGTGTGTCCTTGTGGAGTTGAAATGAACCGGGTTCTCTAGGGAGGTGGGGCCCTGGACAGGTATATTTCAGATTTATTGATACTCAGATAGTAGGAAGGGATTGAATGCATGGAGAGACCTGCCAGGTTTGAGCAGGCAGAGCTCTGCGGTTTCTGGCAGGAGGATGGTCCCTCCCACCTGCCTGAGGCCCCCCTCTGTCTTTCTCACAGCCTCCCTCCCTGGACACACCCCAGGCCGTGGACCCCTTCCTCCTGGATGGCATCACCTACTACATTCGCATGGGCAGCCAACCCATCTACTTCCAGATCTACATGGTCAAGGTAAGCCTATCACCTGGAATCAGTCCTCTTGGCCCTTGGACCCCACAACCAAAACACCGTGGCTCTGGGGAGACCCTGGCGAGCGCATGCTCTTGGTTGTTCATGGTGTTGTCTTCATGTGCTGGTGGACCAGATGGTCCTTAACTACCAGACCCCCTAAACCCAAGCAGAAGATGGTGAGTCAGGACTAGGATGTTTTGGACAGCATCACTAGCAAGTACTATCCTCTGAAAACCTAAACTCTGTTTTCTGCTCCCAAACTCCCATCACTCCTTTTCACACCTCACATCAGCCTCAGGGAGACCTTGAGGCCCCCTCCCACTTCCACATCCATCAGTTCCTGCTGCACCCCCCTTCTTGAGTGGCAGCCAGCTTCCTGCCTGAGCCACTCTCACACCTTGTCCTGCAAGCCCTACTTACACTCTTTGGGTGCTATCTGACATCCCAGCAAATCCCACGCCGTGGAGGGAACAGTGATGCGATGGGTCTTACTTTGCAGCTACACTGGGAATCCTGAGTGGCAGGAGAGAAGACCAACTGGAAACATTTTGGCTTGAAGATTTTCTTCCCCATGTTTGTGGTGTTCACTCCCCAGGCTCCACCCACAGCCCCGCCCCTTTGGCAAACTTCTCTCCTTCAGTCCTCCTCAAACCCACCCCTCCAGCAAGAAGAGAAGGTGGCTCCCAAGCAGGCAGGTGTTCAGCCCCCTGGCTGAGATACCCTTGACCCAGTTGGAGTTTGGTCCTGGATCTGATTCCCAGCCCTGGTCCCTTAGGCCACATACAGCCTGTGAATCAGATGTTGCCCTCACCTGGGCCATCTGGATCTCCCTGGGTGTGAGCCACCTGTCTAGCACAAACCCTCTCCCTTGGCTGCTGGCTCATCCGTGTCCATCTCCTCCAGTGCCTGTCCCCTACAGCGGTCCCCTCCTGTCTGCTGTTCCTCTTCACTTGGTAACCTGAGACAAGCCTTTCTAACCTGGAAGTTTCCAGTGACTTTCTCACTGAGGGTGTGCCCAGCACAGGGGTCCAGGAGAGCAAGCCAGAGGCTTGGACCTCTCCCAGGTCCCTGTCTGATCTCCCACACCATGTTCTCATCCGTGCTTCCACTGACTCTGAAGGGTGGCAGAAACCCAGCTACTGAAGCCCATGGGTGCTCACGACTCCCCAACTCTGGCACAAGCAGAAAGGACTTCTTTCAGAACCAGCTTCTATGACAAGTGTTGTATTGTTTCTTTTAGATTTATTATTATTTTTTTTTATTGGGAAGGCAGATATACAGAGAGGAGAGACAGAGAGGAAGATCTTCTGTCTGATGGTTCACTCCCCAAGCAGCCACAATGGCTGGAGCTGAGCCAATCCAAAGCCAGGAGACTCCTCCGGGTCTCCCACATGGGTGCAGGGTCCCAAAGTCTTGGGCTGTCCTCGACTGCTTTCCCAAGCCACAAGCAGGGAGCTGGATGAGAAACGGGGCCGCTGGAATTAGAACCAGCACCCATATGGGATCCCGGCGCATTCAAGGCGAGGACCTTAACCACTATGCTATAGTGCCGGTCCCTGTATTGTTTTCAATCGTATTTTCCTTATTTATTGTAGAAAGACAGAGATGGGAAAGAGGGATCTACTGGTTCCCTCCCCAAATGCCCATAACAGCCAGGGCTGGGCTAGGCAGGAGGCAGAAACCAGGAACTCACTCTTGGTCTTGCTTGTGGGTGGCAAGGACCCAACCACTCGAGCTGTCATCTGCTGCCTCCCCTGTGTGCATCAGTAAGAGGATGGACCTGAAATTGGTCCAGGACTCCACGCAGGCATTCTGACACGGGCTGTGGAGATGGCTTCCTACCAGTGTCTTCATTGCCACCCGGAACACCCAACCCTTCTGCCAGCCATTTGCCACTTTCCATGGACCACAGGACGTGGCCAGCATGTACCTGCATCCTACTTCAACTGACCACAGTCTCCATAGGCACGTGGTCTGGGCCCTGGGGTACAGCAGGCAGTGCCACTATGCACCAAGAATCCCCAAATCCCACCACACTGCCCCATACTACTTGAGCCCAGTCACATCTGCCTTCATGCTTGTCTCTTCTCTTGCCAAATTCCACTCCTGTTTCTGCTTTGTTTGGAAGAATATTTGAAAGTTCTGCTTTCTGGGCCTGGCACAATGGTCAAGTAGTTAAATCCTTGCCTTATATCCCATATGGGTACCAATTTGTATCCTGGATGCTCCACTTTCCATCCAGCTCCCTACCTGTGGCCTGGGAAAGTAGTCAAGGATGGCTCAAAGCCTTGGGACCCTGCCCTGTGTGGGAGACCTGGAAGAAGCTCCAGACTCCTGGCTTCAAATCAGCTCAGTTCTGGCAGTTGTGACCACTTGGGGAGTGAACAGGAAACAGAAAATCTTTCTCTCTGTATCGCCTTCTCTATGTAAATCAACCTTTCCAATAAAAATACATCTTTTTTTTTTAAAGTTTACTTTCTTTCAACATGTTTGCTTATAGCTCTGCTTCATAACTCAACACCCTGCCAGATGAAGTCATAGAAAATATGGTCTTGAGTTCGTCATTCACATTATAATGAATACGTTTGAATTATCTTTTAAAGATATTTTTAAAGATTTATTTATTTATTTATGTGAAAGTCAGAGTTAGAGACAGGGACAGAGAAAGAAAGGCCTTCATCTACTGGTTCATTCCCCAGGTGACTACAACTGTCAGAACTGGGCCAATCTGAAGCCAGGAGCTTCTTCCAGGTATCCCTAGCCCTTGGGCCATCTTCTGCTGCTTTCACATGCACATTAGCAGGGAGCTGGATTTGAAATAGAGCAGCAGGGACTCAAACCCGTGCCCATGTGGGCTCCCAGAGCTTCAAGCAATGGCTTTACCTGCTATGCCATGGTGCTGGCTCCTCAGTTATCTTTAGATTCTTGTTAGATGAATTTAGTCAGACAATTTTTTTTTTTTTTGAAAGACAGATTTACAGAGGAGAAACAGAGAGGAAGATCTTCCATCTGCTGATTCACTCCCCAAGTGGCCGCAAAGGCCAGAGCTGAGCCAATCAGCCTGGAGCCAGGAGCTTCTTCCAGGTCTTCTATGCAGGGTGCAGGTCCCAAGAGTTTGGAATGTCCTTGATGGTTTTCCCAGGCCACAAGCAGGGAGTTGGATGGGAAGTGGAAAAGCCAGATGGGATCCTGACGCATGCAAGACAAGGATTAGTCAATAGAGCTGTTGTACCAGATCCTAATCAGACAATAATAAAATATGCCTCATACTGCACCACATTGTGGTGTGGAATGCATAGCAATAGGAAATAAGCATTATAAAATAATCCATACTTGCAAATATGATTTAGCATAAATAAATTGGTATATCTTTTTAAACTGATGAACAGAAATTGTGTAGATGTGTCCTCAGCCACATGTTGTTCTGAAATCTGTCCGTATTGCGAATGGCTCAGCATACATATTACCTCATACTTTCTTTTTTTTTCTGATGGGCACACTTCACCTCTACTAGCAACTTACTGGGATTTTATATCCTTTGATCAGAGTCTCCCCAATTGCTTCTTCCTTCTCAGTTTTGTTTTGCAGGTAAAATACTAGTTTAATGATGAAAAAAAAAAACATAATGTAACTATTCCCATTGTGGAGGACTGGTGGTGGCTTCAGAACCGGATTGGGAAATTCAGGATCATGTCATCAGAACTCTGTCTGTTTGTCTCCCTGCCTCCCATCTTGGTGCCGGGAGGAGCACCAACAGTTTCACCCTGGCCCCCCGCCCCCCGTGCAGCCTAGCACACTGACCCCAGGCCCCCTCCATTCATTAGCCAGTAGTGGTTACTTGACAGTTTGGGTTTTTGCCTCCCACTCTTCCTAAATAAATCGCCTCGCTGTGACCACAGGCAGGTTCAAAGCCAGGCCATTGTGTACTGCATCCCAGAGCCCAGTCCTGGCAAGGAGGGGTGAGGTAGGGGAGTTGGGTGGGCACAGCTCTCTTGCTTCTGCTCCCTAGGACTGAAGAACTTAGCTGAGGAGCTGCCTCCAGCCTGGCCAGGCAGCCTTCTCCAAGCCGCCCCTTCCCCTCCTTTGTCCAGGTCTTCTTCAGTGACCCCAGCCAAGACCCTGTGGAGGATGTTTTCCTCACTGAGCTCAAGGTGAAGATCCAAGACCCCAAGGGTCCCAAAGGTGAGCTTCTGCCTCCCCTTTACCCCAAAGCCCACTCGGACCCAGCTTGCCCCAAACTCAACTCCTCACCAACTCCCCTGATAACACCTCTCCTCCTGCACCCCTGTCTCTCACATGGAGGTCTGACCTTGCACTTGGGGACAGGTTGCAAGGAGCCAGCCATGCTGTGAAGGGAAGTCAGGGCAGGAATGCTGAGAAGCGTACACCTTACATGCACCTTGCATGTACCAGTGACCCTAACCACAACCCTTCCCGTTTCTCCCAGATGGGTTCTCGCCCCGGAGGAGAGGTGTGACCGAGAGTCTGGGGACTGAGCTGTCCCTGCATTACCAGAAGGTCAGTGCGCTGTGTGCAGGCCGCAGAGGCTGGCTTGGGTGGGAAGAGGCAGGTGTGAGGAGCAGCTAGAGCTAAAGGAACTTTCTATACCTTGTGTTGAAGTTGCTCCCTGGTCTCCCCAACTCCAGGGTTTTTCAGGGTCATGACCTTGCATGTAGGTCAGGAGGTGACCTCCATGATGGACCAGGAGGGCATCCTCCCTACTAGCTGCATGGATGTGTGAACTGATCCCACCCAGGTTTACTCCCAAGGGACTTGGAGACACTCGAAGCCTCTACCCACTAGCCCAGCAATTCAGACCAGAGCCCCGGGGCTGGGACAGGGAGCCGGGCAGAGAGGAGAGACTGTGGGTGAGAGGAGACTTGAAGCAGAGGCCTGTCATGAGCACCCCAACCGCTCCTCTGTGCCCCCTCCCCAGGCCCTGCTCAGCCACAGACCCCAGAACATCACTGTCTCCCTGCGGGCCACTGGGCTGGTCCTGAAGGCCATTCCGGCCAGGGACACTGAAGGTGAGGAGCTGGGGGTGCAGGGAGGGATGAGGGAGGAAGGGCCTCTTGCATCATCCCTCCCACCAGGGACTGGAGCTGGGCCCAGGGCTAGGACAAGCAGGGCCCCTGCCCTCCCTTGGCGGCTCACTGTTGAGCAACCCGGACTCTTGCACCGGCCCCTGGACTGAGTCTGTGCCACCTGGGAAGTCACAACCAGAAGGTGGAGGCATCCCAGAGAGGGGGCACAGGTGGCACAGGTGGCTGCTGCCTCTGTATTGGTTACAATCTACTTGGAAATTTGGGGATTTTGAGTGTCTTTTTTAAAAAAGGAAACATAAATAATCAAAAATACCTAGTTTGGTACAAATAGTCAAATATTAGTTCTGGCTGTGAGGTCCCTGAGCTTCCCGGGATGCCAGAATGGACCACTCACCATTGAACACACATGTGTAGCAGAGACTGGGTAGCATTCCACAATAAACAGACAAAGGCTTTTCTGTGCTGTAACACCCATGAGGTAGGTTTTCTTGGCGTGAGCAATTTCTCACTGGAAGGGGAATTGAAGCAGAGAAACACGTCTGTGAGTTAGCAAGGACATTCTGGCCCAGGCTTTCCCATCACTGTTCCACAATGCCCTCCCCACCGCAGCAGTGCCAAATCCCAAGACTAGACCAGAAAGACACCTGTGACCCACCCATGTCTGCAGAAGATGGTTTTCAAGCCAAGAAAGCAGGTGGCCGTAGATCTCGTTTGCCACCCTACCCCATGTGTGTTCCCAGAACACATCCTGGCACATGGATCCCAGAACCACCTACATCCCAGAACCTGTGTGATCTGAGAGTAGGTAGCAGTCATGTGCTAGAGGTTAGTTAAGAAAGCCCCCTCATGTTTGCCTGCGCTGAGTGATCTGAGCATGCCCAGTAACTGCAGTTCACCAGAACTTTCTTCCTTTGAAAAGAGATTACAGGCAGAGATGAAGATGAAGCGGGCGGCTGGGTGGGGATTTAGGTTGGTGACAGCTTCAGACCCTGAAGTTGCAGAAATTGTGTGAACTTCTCAGGGATGAGAGAATCAGGCAGTGGCGTTCCAGCAGTGGGTAAGAGAGCGTGAAGGATCAAGAAGGGCCCCAGGAGGTGGGCTTAGCGTCTGGCGTCTTTAACTCCCCTACTTCTCTGAAGGCTCAATCACAGCCTCTCCCCTCCCCCATCTCATTCAGTTTCAGGGACTGCCCTCTGCCCCCCAACTGCTACTCCTGTCGCAGACCACACGTGTCTGAATGTCAGCGTGACCGAGGTTGTCAAGTCCTCTAACCTGGCAGGAAGGTCGTTCTCTGTAAGTACCGCGAGGGAAGTAGAGGTTTCGCTGGGGGTTCCGGGTAAGGAGAGAGTGCACAGGCAGGGCACAGGGTTGTGTGCCTCTGTTAGGGCTACGGGTGAGTCTGTTTGAAACATTGAGCACCTACTAGGGCAGTCAGGCACCCCATCACTGCCCGTCTGAGGACCTCAGACGTCCCACTTGGCTGCAACCTGCACCTGCATTCGAGTGTTCCCAACAGGGCTCTCAGCCAACCACAGCCCAGCCCTCAACCCAACCAAACCAAACCAACCAACTCCTTGGCAACCTATGGCCACTCCTTGACCTTTGCCCTTGCCCTGTTTGGTGCTCATTGGCAGAGACATGAGCCTGCCCCCTTTCTCTGTATCCGCTGGCCTCCCCAGGGCCCACATACCCATCCTGATTACGCCTGGACTGTGTTCTCACAAACAGGCACCACCTCCAGACCCATGTTCACCTTACCTGCAGGTGCCTGTGAAATCTGCAGGCCCAGGTGGCCAAGGGCTCCTGGGCTAAGTGTTGCTTCCATGCTAATTGGGGGTCCTTGACACTGGCTCAGCCATTTTCTCCTTTATCTTGTTGGGCTCAGCTCCGTGTGTTGGCAGTTCTCCTTTCTCTAGCTTTGATCCCTCCTAGAAACCCACTCAGGTCTTTTTCATCCTAAAATAGAAACAATATAGGGACTTAGGAGTGAGCATGCAACATATCTGTTAAGAGGCTGAGTTCAACACCCAGCTCCAGCACCGGCCTCCAGCTTCCTGCTAATGCAGACGCAAGGGCGCAACAGCTCTCATGGCCCCAGTGGTTGGGTTCCTGCCACCCATGTGTGTTTCAGATTCCCAGCTTTGGCCTCAAGCACTGGCCATTGGAGAATCTGGAGAGTGAACCAGGAAACGATAGTTCACCATGTCTCTGCATCACTCAGCTCTTACACACTCACAGAAACCGTGCCATGACCCAGGCACCTCTCTTGCTACCCAGTACATCTCTTTCCTTCCCTTCACAGTCATGTTCTAGAAGGACAGCTCTCATCGGGCTTCCTGGCCCAGTGATGTCCAATCAACATTACCTCCTGGTGCCAGGACCAACAGGTTCTAATTCTTGTGTTTCATTATCCCTTCTAAAGACAACTTTTAAACCTATAAGCAAAGGTTTTGTTATTTCCTGTGGGGTAACACAAAAAAGCCTCCAGAAGTGACTTGACTGATAGTTCCTCAATATCTTGAAAATCTGACTAGTAATATTTTTGGTGTAAATATCCAACTTTCATATTACATAAGAGTACCCCAGTATATACTGATCTGTAACTTGATTTTACTCACAGATATTTGAAAATTTTGCAAATATGTCTTAACTGGATCTTGTTGGTGTCATTAAATAGGTTTTGTGCTATTAAGTATCCATGTACGTCATTATATCCTACTATTTGCTGGCTGCATATCTCTGCATATTGAAATCATGGCTTCCTTTCTCCCTATCATAAACATATTATGAGAAGCATCTGGAGAAACAAGTATCCACTAGTAATCATGATTAAGCTTTTATTTATATATATATTTACCTGAAAGTCAGAGGGCATCTCATACACACAGAGAATGAGCAAGAGAGAGACAGAGAGGGAGGTGGGAGACAACATCCTTCCACTGACTCATTCCTCAGATGGCTGCAATTTCAGGGCTAAGTGAGGCTGAGGCAGGACCCAGGAACTTCTTCCAGGTCTCCCACATGGATAACAGGGGCCCGAGTGCTGGTCCATTCTTTGCTGCTTTCCCAGGCAAGTTAGCAGGAAGCTGGAGTGGAGGCAGCCTGTACACAGTAGCAGTGCTTGATTGGCTGAGCCGTGGCTGACTCAAGCCCAAATCTGCCTTCCATGCTCAGCTCCAGGGTGGATTTCCTCCTTCAAATCAGCTCCTGAGTGTGGTTTCTGTCTCGCTGACCACGTTCAACAACCTGGTCAGGGACTTTTCGAGAATCTAAATTTAACCACCCCAACAAGTTCCCTTTTATCCCTGCCTGTACTTGACGGAGGTTGATGGGAATTGGTGAAGTAGGTCCAACACTGGTGCTTTCCTCTCGGAAGTCAGGCAGGTCCCTGTGCCTTGCTCTACCCAAAGGGGATGAGATGACAAACACAGAGCAGCCCCAGGAAGTTCAAGGTGAGCTAGACTGAATGTATCCCCAACTTGGAGAGGGCACTGGGCCAGCCTTATGATTTTGAAGGGTCAGCAACAAAGAAATGTCGCTGGCTTGGAGGTTGGACCTAGAAAAACAGTTAGAAATAAGGCAGGGATGGAACCAGCGGTTTGAGGGTGTGGAAGGCAGGAAGCTGCCAATACAGACCAGGAGACAGCAGCTTTTCCTTGCTTACTGCACCCAAGACTGGGGGCCAAAAATGCATGGAGCCCTTTCTGCTAGTCGGGACTCCTGGGGCCTGATCCCGAAGCAGGTAGGGGGTGTCCAGGCAAGCAGACATAAAGCAGAAATGAAGGGCATCTGTCTATAGTGCAGGCAGGTGAGATGATGCTCCAGGACCGTGATCACCTAGAGGCTGAGGCTGAGGCCCGGAGCTGACTGCAGACATGTGGTGCAGCCAATGCTGGAAAAAAAAAAAACAAAACAAAAAAAGCTGAAACAAGCAAACAAACAAAACAAAAAGAAAGTGCAGCACTGAGCTGGGGGAGGGACCTAGCCCCACCCCCTACCACGTGCAGTCTTGGGTGGGCCTCCCTGAGTCCTGGGTCTCCTCTCGGCAGGTGTGTGCCTGTTTTTCCTCCCCAAGTGCAGGTGCCATCCTTATTGACTATCACAAATGGACTGCACTTGGCTCCCTCTCCCAACCCTGAGATCACGCGTTCCTCCAGCGGTTTCTAGAAGGTCACGGGGGTACCTCCATGCTGACAGTCATCCTGGAGCCCCCAGCTGTGGACAACAGCTGCCCACTGTGGCTAAGGGCTCCAGGGTGTCCAAGCTGCCACAGACTGTGTCACAGTCAGCAGTGGGGAGGGTGGGGTGTGTGTGTGTGTATAACGGGCCAGAAACCTGGGCTACCACAATTCCACAACTCCTGTGCCCACTGAGAGAAGTGGCTCAGGTCAGGGGCACCTGGATACCTGGGCCTGCTTTTCTTGGCCTGTCCAGAGGCCCAGAAGTCCTGGGCTATTTTCTAGACCCTGGGTCTCTACCCCCAGGTAGAAAGTGTTGGGTATAATTTTTTTTTTTAAGATTTTTTTTTAATTGGAAAGGCAGAATTACAGAGAGAAAGAGAGGCAAAGAGAAAGATCTTCCATTTGCTAGTTCACTCCCCAAATGACTGCAGTGGCCAGAACTAAGCTTCTTCCAGGTTTCTCATGTGAGTTCAGGATTCCCAGGGCCTTGGACCATCCTCAGCCCCTTTCCCAAACCATAAGCAAGGAGGTGGATTGGAAGTGGAGCAGCTGGGACACAAGCCTGTGCTAACATGGGATGCAGACGCTGCAGGCAAAGGATTAGCCTTCTAAGCCACCCCCATTGGCCCCTGTTGTGTGTAATGTAAGAACTGGGGTCAGGGCACACAAAGCTCCCCCAGGCCCCAATTTCAAACCTAGACAACATGCCTGTCAGATAAAGGAGGCGCTCAGAAATTGGATGCAGGCGCCATCCATGGCATGCCAGAATTTGGTTCCAAGTAAGGTCAACAGAGCTGCAAACCCTATGTGAGAGCCCAGGGCAGTGGGTGAGCCCTTCCTGTGGGGTTGTCACTCACTGCCGCCAGTCATTTGCAGCCAGGGAGCCAGGGAGGGACTGGGGGTGCTACTACAGCGAAGAAACACCCAGCAGCAGGGTGGAAGCCATCACCTGCTGGGTGACAGCAGTGCTCACATGAGTGCCCTCTGTCGCAGACAGTGACCAACACCTTCCGGACGGCCAACATCCGGATCCAGAGCCAGGACCAGAGGCCGCTGACCCTCTCCCTGGACAAGGACAGTCGGCGCACATTCAGGGACGTGGTCAGGTAAGGTTGCATCTGTCACCCAGGGCTGGGAAGTTGGGGGGAAAGAGTGTGACGGGGGAGAAGGAGAAAAACCTGAGCAGGCGACCCTTCCTGTCATCTCCTGCACTTAGCCCGGGACACCGTGTTGTCACAAGCAGAGCCTGTGGCCAGGCAGGTGGTGTCCCTGGCAGATGTGAACTTGAGCCACTGCCTCAAGGCTTGGATCTAGGAAGAAGAAGCAAATGAGTTGGGCAGTGGCTGCTGTAGATTTTCTACACACGCACGCACACACTCCTGACCCAGGCTCCCTGCTGGCCCCAGGGCCCCCACACAGGCTATGCTCTATATTCATCCAGAGTTCATCTGGCCCTTGCATTTGTGTCTGAAACGGCAGGAAGACAGTGACCCCACGCAGGCGTGGTTTCCTGTCCTGACCAGCCCCAGACCTGTTCCTTGTCCCGGTACTTCCTCTTTGCCTTCTACACGGCCTGAGCACACACCTGACACCCAGCGTGGGTCTCTCCTCCCACTCTCAGGTTTGAGGTGACTCCCTGCCCAGAGCCCAGTTCTGGGGCCCGGAAGTCCAGGGCATCGTGGCTCACTTCCCGCGGGCAGAAGCTGATGGAAACGACCCAAGCCAAGCCTAAGCCCCTTCTGATGCCCATCAACACCTTCTCTGGCATCGTCCAGTGAGCCCACCGGGGTAATGGCTGTGCTGGGTCCCGGAACCAGGGGTGCTGGAGGAAGGAAACACTACCTATATCCATCAGAAACACAGTGTGTGGCAGCCGGGCCAAGCTCTGCCCACTGCGTACCTGGGAGCTCACAGATCCAGTCGTGAGTCCTCCCCATTCCACCCCACCTCACCCTAGTCCTCCTTGCCAGCCTGGGAAACCAAAGCTAGAACTGTTGGCGTGGGCACCGGAGCCCTGTGGCCAGAGGGCAGAGGTGGAAGGGGAAGTGGGAAGAGAGAACTGAACCTTCATGGGAGATGTCTGCTCCTTCCCACGCGTGGACCACTGGTGTGGTAAGCCCCCAGGTGGGGGTCTCCCCCACATTCACTAAATGTACACTAAAGTGTTTCCACCAGGTGCTCTGCCCTGTGTACCCTCCCGTAGAGTTGGGAAGCAGGACTTCCCAGGACAATGTGGCCCCACTTAGACCAAGTAGGGGTGTTATGGAACATTGAATGGCATCCTCTGTCTTTCCCTACCCCTTCCTCCCCTCGTTCTTGTACACTATGAGCGCCTCTCCTATCCCCAAATGGAGATTGACAATACCAGGTAATTGTTGCAGGTCAGTTGGAGACATTAAAATTCTTGATTTTCAAATTCAAAAATTCATACCTGGGTGTAAAAATAGGAGAGGCCAAGGACACATGCCCTGGCTCCCAGGACTTGGGGGAGGGGGACGATGGCAGTGTTGGCAGGGGTCCCACCGGGGCCTTCTTGTCCTGGGAGTGAGCCAACATCCAGGTTGCATCCACTCCGACCACGCAGGAGAGTGTAAAAGGAGCTGCCTGGGGCAGATGGGGCAGATGGGCAGCAAGGGCGAGACCCCAGGAAACAGGCCAAGTGCTTTTCTCCCACAAACGGAAAGCAAACAAGCCCCAGGGGTCTCCAAGGAATGGGGGGTTATCAGGGTGTCTGTCTCGCAGTGAGGGTGAACCCAGGCTGGATCATGTGATATTCCGCCGGGTACCATGAAGGGGGTGGTTTTCAGTCCGCAAGGGCCTTGGCCTCTCCTATTTTTACAGGGCCAGGATCTCACAATCAGAGTGGCTTTACCTGAGCCAGTGTTCGCTTTTCTTTCCTCTGCCTTGGAAACGGCGTAGACAGACCTACGTCCACCTGACATGTCAGGCCGGCAGGCTGTGAAGAGCAGCTCTTATTGTAGACCCAATTCGGCTGTGAGCACACTTGTTGGCAAAGTGGGGCCTCGGCCAAATCGGGAGCTCTGGTCAAACCCTGTAGGAAACACTGGGCAAGTCTGTGGCTGGCCACTGGGCTGTTTTGGAGCAAAACCTTCAGCCTGTGATCAAGGGCCAGGCTGCTGCCCAGGTCTTGATTAAGCACATGAGGAGAGAAGTTTCCTGGAAAACGAGACCCAGTCCAAATGCCAAGGATACCACTCATTTTGCCAGGGAGGAGTGATTTTTGATGTCTATTATGCTAATCAGGGAAGCCACTTCTGTTGACCTACAATCATGAAGGTACTTAAGGTTTATTTTATTTGAAATGTAGACGTAAGAGAAGGAAATGGAATCTTCCATCTGCTGTTTTGTCCTGCCAGTGGCCACAACAGCCAGGCTGAAGCCAGGACCCAACCATCTCCCACTGCTTTCCTAGGCGCATCAGCGAAGAGCTGGATAAGACATGGAACATTCTGGACTCCAACCTATGCTTACAGGGACCCTCCCCTCAACCCCAGGCATTTCAGGCAGGGGCTTAATATACCGTGACACAACGCTCTTTTCTGACCAATGCTAACTGACTGCGTCTGGTCAGGGAGGAGGGGAGACCCCCTGACAGCATGGCTGACCCACCCTTAGGCACCTAGCAGCCATTCAAAAACTATGCTTAACTGTTCTTTAGGAGGTGTTTCATGCTGAAGAACACTACCACCCAAGGTCAAGCCTCTTCCAGGGACAGCTTCTGTCTAGGAACACGGTCTCAGGCCCTGGATGGAGATGCACTACCGTAGATAAATACGGGGAATATCAGCCTTGGCCGTAGGAGGAAAAAGGAAGCAGGGGAGTGTGTGTCGCCCGCCCGCCCGCAGGGTTTGCAGTCTCAGAGTGGACCTCTAGTTCTGGGTCCGGGAGCGTTTACGGGGGAAAGATCTAAAGAGGGAGGGAGTCCGTGGACAGCATCATACCGCACTCGCTCCTCCTCCACTCTGACCTCCCACCTCCCATCTCCACGGTCTCGCTTGTTCCAAGCAAGCAGCCACCACAGGACGCGCACCTGCGCCCCCAGTGAGCGCAGGTTTTGGCGCAGCATCCGCGGGGCGCGCGGCAGGTGCATCCTACAGGTGCGTCGGCCCGGTCCTTCCACAGTGGCCGCGCCTCCTCGAGGCGGGGCGACTTCCGGGCTGGCGGCTGGACACGGGGGCGGAGGCGGCTGGACGCGCGGGCGGAGGCGGCTGGACGCGCGGGCGGGGGCGGCCGTTGACCTGGCCAGCGCGGCGGCGCCGCCCGAGGCAGCCGCGACTCGCTCGGAACCCGGATCCCGGATCCCTCGAGCCTTCTTCCTCCCGGAGTCGGGGGAGGGGGCATGGGGCGCCGCCCTCTTCGGCCTTGGCCGTCGTCGCCGCCGCTGCTGCTGCTGCTGCTTTCCCTCCGCGTCCAGCTCCGCTTTCCGCCTCCGGCTCGCGGCTGACGGGAGACGGAGCAGCCATGAACGCCAACCCCCAGTGGGACGTCAGCAGGGCGCTGGGGGTGGCCAGGCTCTTCCAGGTGGTGTGTGGGGTCCGAGATGGCTCGGTGACCCCGTTTCTGACCCTGTACCTGCGGCAGCTGGGCCTGGCCGCGCCCTGGGTGGGCGTACTCATGGGTACCAAGCACCTGGTGGCCGCCTTCTGGGCCCCCTTCTGCGCCTTCGTGGCGCAGAGATACCAGAAGAGAAGGGCGCTGCTGACCGGCTCCCTGCTGGGCTCCATGGGAGCCAGCCTGCTGGTGGTCCTGGTACCGCCTATGCCCCAGGAGCTGGGATTGAGCCCTTGTGATGTTGAGAGCCGTATCACAACTGTCACAGCCCAACCGCTGGAGGTCACGGTCTCCTTGAACTTCACTTCGCCTAACCTGGAGTCCTCATTGGTCTTGGGAAGCCACCCAGCAGAGGTGCCGCACCTGTCCCACAGGAGAAGCCCTGGCCTGGGCGGACTTGGCAGGAATGCCCAGGATACCTTCCAAGGTCCCCCTGGCCACCTAACGGGCTCTGTGGCGGAAACCAGAACCACAACCCGAGTCCTCCTCCCGGATCCTGTGGCTGTAGAGGAGGACGCCCACGCCTGGGACGGTGCTCTCGAGGTGGTGAACAGTGCCCTGGCTTTGATGCCAGGTGACGCCTCAGAGCCGGGGAATACAGCCATCAGCAACATGTCAGCCACTGCAGAGGAGGGCCAGGCCCTTGACCACCCCTGGGAAGGACTGCGGTGGACTTTCGCCCTCGCCCTGGGCTCCGTGGTGCTCTGGGAGCTGCTGACGACACCCCTGGAGCCAGTGGTCGACGACAGCCTCTATGAGCATCTGGATTGTGTGGATGCCACCGACCGCTACAACAGCCTATGGATGTGGAGGTCGCTGGGCCTGGTGGCAGGTGCGTGCAGCATCGCCGCCCTGGTGGAGCAGCTGGGCTGTTTCCTGGAAGCCGGCGGCCCTCAGGGAGCCGTGCATTTCTACAGCTACTCGGCGGTCAGCCTGGTGGCCTTGCTGGTGAGCCTTGCCATCCCCATCCCCAAGTGCCTCCCGCAGGTGCCCCGCCCCAGGACCCTCAAAGCCCTGACTCTGGTGGGGGGCGCCCCCCGCCTCATCCTCCTGGCCCTCACCGTCGTCCTGCTGGGTGCTGTGGCCAGCACCGTACAGAACTTTCTGTTCTGGCACATGAGGGACCATGGCAGTAGTGAGTTGGTCATGGCCTTGGCGTTTGCCCTGGGCCTGCTGGGTGAGATGGCACTGCATCCCTGGAAGTCGGTGTTGCTGGGCAAGGTGTCCAGGGCGGCCGCCGTGGGGCTGGGGCTGGCCTGCCTTGCTGGGCAGCTGCTCTACTATTCATTTCTGTGGAGCTGGTGGTCCGTGCTCCCCGCACAGGCCCTGAGCGCTTTCAGCAGTGGGGCACTGTGGTGGGCTGTGGGTGCCTCCCTCGAGGACCTGGCCACCTCAGGCACCGAGAGACCCCTGAGCGGCATGTTCCGAGAGCACCTGTATGGGGGTGGCTGCAGCCTGGGCAGCTTCATTGGGGGTTTTGTGGTGATGCGTTTTGGCCTGGCCACGCTCTACCAGGCCTGCTGTCTGCTGCTGATGCTCTGGCTGGCCCTGTACTTGGCTGTCCAGCCCAAGTTGCCCCAGGAACGTAGCATCAACTACTCGAAGCTGCTGGCAGTGGAGACGAGTGACACAAGCGACTCAGAGCCGGGCCTGGACCAGGACTGGTTTGTGAAGGCCATGAAGGAGGACCACGCGCCTTGGAAGGGCTGAGTGAGCAAGAGGGGTCAGAGTAGGGGAAGGGACAGCGGTCGGCATGCACCGAGCCGGCAAGGAAGTCGTGATCTAGACCAAACCCGGTCCGTGGGGAGGAGGAAGGCCAGGGCTGCGGAAGACTATGTGGAGATCGTCTGGTCCCTGGGGTCTCTCTTTTGTAGTAAAAGGAGATGGATGAGCTGTTGGTCATTCAAATCTCTTGTCAATAATGGAGGACGAATACATTTGCTAAAAAATAAAAGAAAAAAACACAACTTTTTATTCTATGTGCTGTATTCTGATGTATAAAAGCGTTCGTGTTTCTGAGAGAGGGAGAGATGGTCTCCTACCTGCTGGTTCGCTCCCTAAATGACAACCACTGGTACTGGGCCATTCTGAAGCCAGGAACCTCTGCCAGGTCTTCCATGTAGGTACCAGGGCCTAAGTGCCTCCGCTGTCTGCTGCTGCCTTGCTAGGCGCATTAGCAGGGGGCTGGATCAGAAGGGGAGCAGCAGGCGCTCATAGGAGATGCTAGTTTTTCAGGCAGTAGTTTAACCCAAGGCACTGTTAACATCCACTCTGGGACCGAAGGCTTTAGTCATTGTGCTCTATTTCTAAGGCCGGAATTAAGTGTTACGCTTTAAGGCAGAGGCAGGTGTTCAGCCCAGCTGTTAAAATGCTCATTAAAAGCCAACCCTAACTGGTCCCATCCCCGACTCCCCCACCCCTGCTCCACTGGGGGGCCTGATTTTCATCCCTGGCTGCAGCTCCAGATCCCAGCTTCCTGCTAATGTGCGCCCTAGGAGGCCTCGATGATGGTTCAAGTTTCTGCCTGGACTGAATGCCCGGTTGCCTTCTTCAGCCTGGGCCAACCCCGGCTTCACAGGTAATTGTGGTAATTACCAGCAAGTGGTTAATTCTGTCCCTCTCCCTGTTCTGTCTCTCCAGTGTATTCAGAAAATACATTTGTAAAAGTTCAGATTTATTTTTTTTCTTAGATCTAAGGCAGTAAGCACTTGAAATGTCCTGAATAGTAGGTAATATTTACTATGTAAAAATTTTTTAAAGATTTTTTTTTTTATTGGAAAGGCAGGAGATCTGTCTGCTGGTTCACTCCCCAGGTAGCTGCAAAAGCCGGAACTGAGCCGATCTGAAGCCAGGAGCCAGGAGCCTCTTCCAGGTCTCCCATGCAGGTGCAGGGTCCCAAGGCTTTGAGCCATCCTGTACTGCTTTCCCAGGCCACAAAGTAGAGAGCTGGAGGGGAAGTGGAGCAGCTAGGACATGAACTGGTACCTATATGGGATCGTGGCACAAGCAAGGTGAGGATTTAGCCAATAAGCCATCACACCAGGCTCTACTATGTATCTAGAACATGCTAACTTGCTAAAGGAAACAATTGTAGAAAGGATGGAAATGAGCTGAAGAGTTAAAAGGTGTAGTTTAACCAGAGGCATGGGTTGGAGGAGCTGGGCAAGAGACAGTGACGTAACAGTTCAAGACCTGGAAGATTTTAGGGAAGAATGAGGCACTTAGAAAATTCATGTTTTCTTCCATGTATATATTTTTTTTATATCTGTTTCGTTTCTTGATGTTTAGCAGAATCAGTGTATATCATGGAGGACACACAAGCCATGTTCAAACCACGGCAGGGCAGGGCCCAGTGCTGTGGGGCAGCCACTGCCTGCAGTGACCGGCTTCCCAGAACAGAGCACTGATTCGAGTCCAAATGAACTTGAGAAGGCATCAGATGACCCACGTGATCGGGCTCCTGCACTCATAGCCAGTCATCCGGGTAACCTGGATATAGTTCTAGACTCCTAGCTTCTTATAAACAGGTCTTCTTATAAACTTCTTATAAACTCCTAGCTTTGTGTAGTCCTCCAGGACAGACACTGTTACACTTTAACTCACTTTTATTTGAAGTGGCACATAGAGTGTTCATTGCCCAGACACCCACAGTAGTGGCTGGGGCTGGGTCAGGCCAAAGCCGGCATCCTGTGTGAGTCCCCGCTGCTCCACTCTCCACCCAGCTCTCTGCCTATGAGCGTGGGACAGCCACGGAAGATGCTTCAATCCACGTGAGATCCACATGGAGCTCAAGGCCCCTGGGTTCAGCCTAGCCAGCCAGCCCTGGCCATTGTGGCCATTTGAAGAGTGAACCATCTGTCTGTCTCCCTCTTCTCTCGTTAACTCTGCCTTTCCAATAAACAAGCAAATCTTTCCCAATGGAGCTTGGGATTCATCTCAGCAGTTGTGCAGGGGTCCTGAACCAAAGTCAGGAGCAAAGAAAGGTGGGAGAATACAGCACGCCCTCTCGCGGCCACAGGAGCGTGGTGTAACCTATGGGGCTACAGCTCTTGCAGGAGAACCGTGGTCTTTGTTCTTAGAGTGCCTTAAAGCGGAAAATGCAACACCGCCCCCCACAACAGGATTGCTTGTGTCTCCTCGTAGCTTCGCACAGCCAAAAGCTTCAAGACACAGAATCAAGGTGGATGACCCCAGGTGGTCACTTTGAGAATTCTGCTCTGTGCACGGTGGTCACTTTGAGAATTCTGCTCTGTGCACGCCCTGGACATGGCCGTTGTGGAAAAATGCTGAAATCGCTGATGGCTTCCAAAATAGAGAAAAATCTAGAAGACGATCTGCGGCACACATTTACTTTATTTAGACAGTCTATTTTTTTCCTGCCCTGCCTGCTGCATATGAAGAGTGATCTTTCAGTTCAAAATGTTTCTGGACAATGGGATTAGAGATAAGCTTATTTTGGTATTAAAAAAAAAATGGAAATCCATGCTATTCTCTCCCTCTCTCTCTCTCTCTCTAAGACATTTATTTATTTGAAAGGCAGAAGGACAGGGGAAGAGGGAGATTTTTTAAATCCATCTGCTGGTTCACTCCCCAAATGAACACAGCAGCCAGGGCTGGTCCAGGGCTCAGAATTCCATCTTGGACTCCCATGTGGGTGCAGAGTCCCAAACACTTGGGCCATCTTCCACTGCTTTTCCAGGCACAGGAACAGGGAGCTGGCTCGAAGGCAGAGCAGCCAGAGCTAGGATGGGTTGTCTGATACGGGATCCCAGCCTCACATGCAGCTGCTAATCCACTAAGCCACAGTGCTGGCTCCCATTTTTTTTCCCCCCATGATTTGCATTCCCATGAACTTTTTAAAGACCCTTATAAAAATGCCAATTTCATATATATATAAATTTTATTTTTTATAATGATTACATGGTGGATCAGGGTGGGCAGGATCAAGGTTTAGGGAAAATTCGGTGAACTCATTGCTTCCAAATTTGCTATTTCTTCTTGTTTCTGGGAGAAGGGGAGAGACAAAGGGGGAACCCACTCATGACTTTCCACACGTCCCAGTGCTCAGGGGTGAGGAACCACCACCTCATATCAACTCAGGGTCTCAATGTGTACATACTCTGAGGGTTCTGTCCAAGTGGTTTGGATAGTTCTGAAATGCTGCCGATTTCGTGGATCTGAGGGTCCTGTCACCCTCCCAATGGCCATTGGCTCCAGTCAGCAAGAATTTTGCTGTCGTCATTTGTCTGGGGTAGTTGTCCAGTTCTGTTCTGCTATAGCACCAAATGAGCTGCTATATTCTCCTTTTACAACAGGGCCCATGTCCACTGCTCCGCCTTTTTCATTAAATAGGACGTGTTCTTGCAAGCAAGTCCAAGGACCCAGGCCAGGCGTCCCAAGCATTGCTGGATGCCCCACTCCTGGAGCTCACACACCCCACACCCCTAGTAGGAGATCCCCAGGACCCAGACCATGAGACCCAAGTCCCACTGGATCCCCCACAAACCCTGCACCCACCTAATAGGCAGGCACCAGGACCTAGACTGTGAAACCCAAGTCCCACTGGATCCCCCACCCCTGGGGCTCATAAACCGTCACTCACCTAACAGGCAGGCCCCACGATCTGGGCCAGGTGACCCAAGCCCCACACGTTCCCCCATCCCCAGGGCTCAGGAATCCAGCCCCCACAATGCATATGGACCCCAGGACCTGAACCAAGCTACCAGAGCCCTGTCAGATCCCCCATTCCTGGGACTCATGAATGCAGCCCCTATTGGGTCCAGGCTGGCATGACTCACCTCATCTCAGCGTCCGCAATCTTGTTGTGCATCCTGGCTTAATCTAGTCTACCCCCGTCCCAGCTCCTGCTGGTGGGTGCTGCAGCCTATCTCAGTCTAGTCTGATTGTTGTCCTGCTGCATTCTGCACAGACCCCTGTCACACACACAGGCTGCTTTCTGTCTTCTTCTCCAACAGCTCCATCTTGGCGCCTGGCCCCTAGAAGCACAGCAGGGCATTGGGGGGCTGGGGCACTGAGTGAGTGTTCTCTTATCCCCCAACCTGGCACTAGGTCCCTGGGCTTTGAGCAAAGTAGCTGCTGCATGGAACTTGAAGTGCCAGCAGCCTACCTGCCATCAAAGCCAGCAGTTGGGGGCTCATGACACGAGCCAGAGGGGCAGCCTGTAAGTGAGGACCACAGCGTGAGAAGTTGTTATAGAAAGGGGAGGTGCTGAGTAGGCACTGGGGATGCAGGGAGTGGTTTCCTATTGCCATTCCTATTACCATGAGCGTTAGGACACCTGCAGTCCTTCCATCCTTTGCAAGGGACAAAAGCATCTTCCGAAGCCTGAAAAGCCAGTTTTTGCCGCCACAAAGAAGGAGCAGGCCAACACCGAGAAGTGCAGATTCAACCTGCAGTTCAGAATATTTCCACCAGGGGGCACCAAGCATACTGGGGTGGGAGGCAGAGGGAGTGGGTGGGAGACCAAGACCTCAGACCCTTCCCAAAGCACCAGGTCAGGGTGAGGAAGGCTCCCCACCCTGGGAATCTGCAACGACAGAACTCTGAGGGTCAGGTGTCCATGCTGAGCCGGCCCTGGCAGAGGCAGGTGGCGGGGCTGGGAACAGGGGATGGCTTCACTGGAATTGGGCTGTGGGGCACACCAATGTTCCAGCCCCGAGAAGTCCTGAGTGGACACGGGCTGCCCTGGTGCTGCTTTTGCCCTGGTCATAGTGGGTGGGAGTCAACAGAAAGGAGAAAGCTGGGGGAAAAGTAGTGTAAACCACCTGCTTTATCCAGGGCTGATGAGGTCAATGTCAGGCTGATTTCCCAACTCCTCACCTCCTGCCATCCCCAGCCCTGCCCACCCCGGCTGCCCAAGCCTTCTTTGCCAGTCCCTTTTGGTCTATGTTGCTTGTGTGGGTGCAGAGAGGACCTCCAACCTCAGCCAGGCAGGCAACCCCCGACCCCCAACCTGTTCTAATCCACCGCCTTTGTGTGAAGGAAGCAGATGGCAGACCTCCAGACACAGCGCTTCTTCCCTTAGTTCTTGGCAGAGGGCAGGAACAT